AGAGCTATCATCACACTATACTCTAGCCTGGATGTAAGGGCAAGGCCCTGTCTATAATCAAAACAAAACAAAACAAAACAAATGGCTCCCAAATCATCTACTTTGTAAGTTCAGATTTTCACCTATGATTTATGGATTTTGTAATACTCCTTTTCTATGTTTATGTGCATAGATACATGCACATATATTCATACATATATATACATACACATATATACACAGTTATATATCATAGTACAGAATGCCTCAAGAAAGTACTGAGTGGCATTCAATATTACAGGACTGGAAGACCTTAAGGAATTTCTGAAAGGGTGTTAGAGAAACCTCAGGGACCTCCCACAGTGGTCACTGGAGCCAGATTGCACCAGCTCAAGGGAGTTGATTGTTAGCATCTCTTCCCAACTCCACATTCAGTGACATTGTGTTGGTAGCTTAAAATTGGCCACAGTGGAATTATTTACACTGCAGAAATCAGTAAGCACTAGGAATTGGTGCTTCTCCTCATCCTTGCCACCAGCCAGTTGTTAAGCATTTACCAGAATACTGCTGTTCCTAAAATATATTTCAAGAACTACTGATAAAGAGATGGAAGTATGCTAATGGAAAGGCATACAGAGATAAAAATGATGAAAGAAACATCTTTGAAGGACAGGAATAAAATCAGCTTTAAAAATAAAAGGATATTCTTATGATAAACTCTCAACAAATGGATAGAAGCATTATGAAGAAAAATGCCTTCCCCAGCTGAGAAAAAAATATGATTTAGTGTTCAAAAGGTTTAATGTGTTCCAGGAAAAATTAATTGAAGGAACACAATTAAGCTTGGAAATGTCTTTAATTTCTCACAGAAAAGGAAAGTCTTGCAAGCATTTTAGCAGGAAAAAATAGGTTACCAACAAAGGAACAAAAAAATCATGCTAGCTTCAGACTTTCTATAACCTGAAATATCAAAGTTTATGGGCCAATATTTAAAACATTGGGGTTTTAAAGATAAAATACAGAACATGATTCAAGAACTATACATAAAGATAAGTTTTTGTTTATCCTGCAAAATAATATTAATTTTCAGAGATCAATGGCTAAAACTCTCTCAAGCATCTTTACTGAAAAAAGATTTTTAAAATTAAATTTCTAGTTATCATCAGATGAATCAAAGTCAAGGCTAAAGAATAAGTAAGTTATAAGAAAAAAGACCATCAATGAATGGCCTAGAGTTAAGACTACATACTCATTATAAATATGATTACAATATTGCGTGTGAATACCAAAATTCAATATTAAAAAGAAAGTTAAATGATTAGCAAAAACTATAATTAACGTGTTCATACAGGGGAGTAGGATCGAAGGGGCATCAAATTCAAGGGAGAAGTAGAGGGACAACTGAAATGTATTAGATCATTGTGTAACATAGGAGGACTCAAAAGTTGTTGTTTCATCTTGACTTTGGTAATTAGAGAAATGCCTGTCAAACTATGTTTTTAAAAACATGCCCATAGCTACTAATTAGAATATACAACAGAATATTTATGTATCTTTTGAATACCTATGTTTATTATACAAGGAAACATAGTTCATATAGCAGAAGTCAGAAACTCTTAAGTGCAGTAACATAAAAATCAAAATGTAAAACAAGATGATAAAAGTAAAACCATACACTTAAAAATTTTTTTTGAGATAGGGTCTCACTCTGTCAAAACACAATCACGACTCACTGCAGGATTGACCTCCCATGCTCAAGTGATCCTCCTGCCTCAGCCTCCTGAGTAGCTGGGACTACAGGTGCATGCTACTACACCCCACTAATTTTTGTATTTTTTTGTAGAGATGGGGTTTTACCATGTTGACCAGGCTGGTCTCAAACTCCTAGGCTCAAGCAGTCTGCCTCCCAAAATGCAGGGGCTACAGCAAGCCATCACACATGGCCCGTACACTCAATGTTGACAATAAATAGTGATCTTTTAAACTGCTCTCTTAAAAATGCAAAGAGAATTAATTTAAAAATAGAAGCTAGCTACGTGCTACACATAAAAGATAAATCTCAAATCCGACGTCACAAAGGTTAAAAATACAGAGAAATGTAGTTATTCCCGAAAAAGCACAAGCAAAAGAAAACAATGGTAACTATGTTGATAGCAGTTAAAAATGAATTCAGGCCAGACACGATGGCTCATGCCTGTAATCTCAGCACTTTAGGAGGCCAAGATGAGTGGATTACTTGAGGTCAGGAGTTGGAGACCAAGCCTGGCCAACATGATGAAACCGCGTCTCTACTAAAAACACAAATATTAGCTGGCCACGGTAGCGCACACCTGTAATCCTAGTTACTTGAGAGGCTGGGGCAGGAGAATCGCTTGATCCAGGGAGGTAGAGGTTGCAGTGAGCCGAGATTGCACCACTGCATTCTAGCCTGGGTGACAAAGCAAGACTGTGTCTCAAAAAATAAATAAATAAATATTACTGGTTCAAAGAAAAAGCAAATATAAAATAGTTGGTTTAGAAAATTGAAACAATACTTATCAAATTATATACTTTTCCCAAATTCTTCTTTAGAAGTCATTTCATGGCCCTATTTTTTTTTTTTTTTTTTTTTTTTACTTTTAAAAGGAGAGAAATCAAATCATGCAAATAAAAATATATAAATTAACTCCTCGTTTAATTATTGGTATACTGATAAGTAACAACTGGCTTTCCAAAAAAAAAAAAGTATGCATATAAATGTATGTGCATTTACTATAAAATTTTATATTTTGTATTTACTATTTTATGGATATAAAGGACATGTAGCATACAACTTACAAATGATAAAACATACAATATTCTTTACTGTAAATTCCACGTAGCCAGTCAATTCTCACACCAAGTTTTCATTGACTTTTGCCAAAGAAACTCATAAATGTAGTTAGCCAATCAACAGTTGAACCTGAAGAATGATTACAGTTCCAATATGAACTATTTTATTAACATTAATAAAACACAAGTGATATATGTCAAAGGTATATGTCTAAACTCTGCTTGTCTGTCAGTGATGTGAGTGTCTTCTGTGCTAAATCAAAGAACAGTTTTCAAGTATTGAGAGAACATTAATGTTTTGTGCTACTTCACAATGTTGTAGCTACAGACATGACCTACTTTTAAATTTAATTTGCTTCACTAATTGTGTTCTCCATCACTTTAAGTCTAAACAATAAATCAAGCCCTGATTTGTAATGTTTGACGTTTTCCATGGTATAGAATACTTCCATATTGGCCAAATCCAAGCTGCCAATGAGAGGTCACCAAACATGGATTTGGGAAAAAATGGGCAGTAGCACTCTATTCTGTAGCATTTTCACCAAAGAGATACAATAGACATAAACAACCACAAGAACACAGATAAAGTAACATGTAGAAAAATATTAGAAAGCAATGAGTTTTAATTATTTCTTGCCTGTATAAGAATTTTAGATATATAAGGAGAAATCACACATCATTCGATAAAAGTTTTATTCAATAAATGCTGCCGAAATAATTGGTTAGCTATTTAACAACATTCAAAATGTAAAACTATGTTTAGCTTATATACTGCACAAAAATAAGCCTTGGGCCACATGGGCTGTAGCTTGCTGACCCCTGATTTAGATCATTGCTTCATTCATCTACAAAGATTAATTCTAGATTGACTACATATTTAAGTAAAAATACATGCATACACACAAATAAGCAAATGTATATTAAATGCCTGGCAGGAGGAAGACTATATTTAAGAGCATCAGAAGAAATTTCAAAGGGAAAGCTTTATAGATTTGACTTTTTAAAAGTGGCAGCTTAGTTAATGGGATAAACAGAAAATATGGTCCCACTTCTTAGGCTGGCACCTTTGCAGAAAATGGTTAGAGTCAGAAGACAAAGAAAATTACCACCCAGAATTTTCTATGTAAACTTTCCTAAATGTCTCATCACTGTTATTTTTCAAAGGAGCTCAAAAAGCTATATTCTCAAAAATAGTTCATTCTTTCACAATAGTTTGAGAAATGTTTTTTCAAAGTCAAATTTGAATCTCTCCTAGTGTGATCATATACCCTTCTTTACTGGTCTTTCTGTAGTGAAAATAAAGAATTGGGCCAGGTACGGTGGCTCATGCCAGCACTTCAGGAGGCCCAAGTGGGCAGATCACTTGAGCCCAGGAGTTTGAGACCAGCCTGGGCAACATAGTGAAACCCCATCTCTACAGAAAAACACAAAAACTAGCTGGGCATGGTAACACACTCCTGTACTCCCGGCTACTCAGGAGGCTGAGGTGGGAGGACTGTTTGAACCCAGGAGATTGAGGCTGCAGTAAGCCATGATTGTGCCATTGCACTGCAGCCTGGGTGGCACAGTTAAGACCCTGTTTCAAAAAAAAACAAACTAAAAAGAATAACTGACATAAATTTGTGATACATTTGAATATTCTGTCAACTCTTTTGTTATTCTGTCCCTTCTCCTCCGAAAAAGAGAAGCAATATTCAGTGTTGTCAATACTCCATAAACAGTCAAAAAATAACCAGTGTGAGGCTCCTTAGAGGTGGTAAGGGTCTCAACAGGTAGCCAGAGCATGGAAACAGGGATCTGGGACAAGAGTGTTCAATGTTTGGTAACGAGGATGTTGGCATTCTATCAAGAAGAGGGCCCAGACACCAAACTGGAATGTAAGGGCCAGAGAGCTCGACTGCCCAGGATGGGGGACCAGAAAGAAACGGGCAGGCAAAGTCTAACCCAAGCTACTGGGCACATTGCTGTAAGAGTGACAAAAATGTTAGCCAAGGCAGAAAACCAGTTATTCAAACTGAACTGGCCAACTAGGGAGAGCGCAGGCACCAGCTTAGGAACTTGAAAGCATCCAGCAGTCCCTTGTCAGAATAGCAGTGTCCCAGTGGCAGGGTGTTGATAAAGGCAACACTGCCTTTGCAGAATGCTAGAGCAAGTCAAAGACTTTGGGAGCATAATTATTTTCAGTGTCCTACAAATAACACAAGCATTACCTCGGCAGGAGTCGCATTGTCCTGTTGGTGATAGTTGTGTTAGACAGATTGAGATACAGGACCCCTGGACAGCCCTCAGAAATGTGTCTCATTGATTCATCCTGCATGAAAAACAGAAAGAAGATGTTTATCAAATTCTAACAGACTTTGCAATTTCCCCGTTATCTTTCTATTATCTCTCCTCCTATTTCAGAAAAATATATATGCAAGAGTTGGTTTCTTCATATTCTTTATCTGATACTAGGTTGAAATGAAATTAAAAAGAAGCCAATACTTTTGCTCAAAGCATCATTACTCAGGCCGGGTGCAGTGGCTCATGCCTGTAATCCCAGCACTTTGGGAGGCCGAAGAGTGCGGATCACAAGGTCAGGAGTTTGAAACCAGCCTGGCCAACATGGTGAAACCCCATCTCTACTAAAATTACAAAAATTAGCAAGGCATAGTGGCTCATGCCTGTAATCCCAGCTACTCAGGAGGCTGAGGCAGGAGAATAGCTTGAACCCGGGAGGCAGAGGTTGCAGTGAGCCGAGATCATGCAATCACACTCTAGCCTGGGGCGACAGAGTGAGACTCCATCTCCAAAAAAAAAAGGAAAAAAAAGCATAATTACTCCCTCCTTTTCCCTTTCCTTGGAAATAAAATCTCATTCTATCACAATGACACTTCATTAAAATGTGAACCCATGCATGTTCAACTGTGTCACAAGAAATTTGAGCTCAAAAGTCAAAAAGTGTCAAACACTTCTCACTCTTCATATGCAGGAAAGCAATTAAAAATGGATCCATTTTAAACTTACAAAAATTATTCTGAAAGACAAGAATAGTAAACACTCTCAACAACAGGACTTCAGTAACAGTCCATATTTATACACATATACCTTTATACATAGATGTGTGTGTGTAATTAAGCTTCTGTGGTTCTGCTAACAAAATATTTTAAATAGCTGAACAGATTTTCACTAAATTTATGATAAATTTGAGATGGCTAAAATAAAATATTGGCTACATGCCAGCTAGAGTTGGGGTTAGGGTGAGGGAGAATCTCAAAGATTCAAGCATCCTTCCCCCTGAAAGTGCAAAACTGAAGTAAGACAGTAGTGTGACTGTGAAGTAAGAGAGACAGAAAAACAGGTTTCAAGCACAGATTCTAAATTGAAACTTACAAGACCAGATGAATTGCAAGCTTTGATTGCAATAAGCTGCTTTTTGTATAGGTAACACTATAGAAAATACAATGAGTACCAGCAGATTTTTATTTAAGGATTGATGAATCTCCCCAGAAACCTCAACAGGGCAATCAGTTTAACTATTAGTGGTGCAGCCAATGTTTGACACTACATAAGTCCTGAAAAGAATAGACCATTGCAGGTATCTATCTATCTGGAAGAGGTAAATTATGAGAAGGCTAGATGATGTAGTTCTGAGAATTCTGCATCACAAATATGGCCACTCCTCACACCACTAAGAATAGTAAAGGCTTACACTCAGCAGGATCATTGATGTTTAACATTCTATTCATTACTATTTCCAGTAGTCAGGGATTTTTAAAATAATAAAATCCTGCAGGTCAGAGCACCTGTCATACTCAGATAGGAACTGGTTGGTTTATAGGGACAGTAAATCATACCTTAAAGAGAACACAAGATTCTATTTTAAGCTGCAAACCTCTGTGATTCTGCTATAGGGAAGGTTCTATGCACCCATACTGCATGAGAGGCCAGTGCAGAGCTTTTGAGAAACATTACTCTTAACTGTATTCAAGCTGTCAGCAATTTTTCTAGATGCCCCATTACCAAAATGTAGGATTTGAATGGGTATGGATAGATAAAATGTGTACAGTACAATTTTTCCAAAAAGAATGGCAAGAATAACCATAATGAGTGGCACTGTACTCTAATACAGAGAAAACCTGTCTTTGAAAACGTTCAGCATGCCAATCAAGTGTCAAAGTGATCATACACTTGTTGAAAAACCTTGGCAAAATGCAAATAAGGTTGGGCAAGGAGAGGAGAGAGAGTTGGCTTAAACACCCTCAGAGAGACAACCACAAAGAAGATGAAAATATGGGACCAGGAAGAGGAAGATGGAGTAGGAAATCTGACTTTGTGCTTGAGATGAGGAGGCAATTCATTCTCTGCATTTTCCTGTCTAGAGAAGCTTGAACATCCAAACAAATTTAGAATACTCCCATTCTCTTGTACTTAAAAGAATTCAAGACTTAATCCCCAAATGTTTGAACACATAAATGCAAAAACTGAGTGCCTATATTGCAGAATGGCTTATGAATTTGTCCACAACATACTCAAATCCTTCTGAAAGTAATATAGTTGATAAGACAAGCTTAGAAATCAAAGCTCTTTGAATGAATGTTACCCAACTCTTTAAATGTAAGCCTGTGTCCCAGTCTACGTCTCAAGGGGAAAAAAATAGTAAAATGTAGCTGGATAAAATTATCACCCCTGTATATTATTAGACTCCAAAACTGGACAAGACTTTGATGTTCACAAATTCAATGCAGATGGCATTGTTTTGACTTCCCTATTAGAGGGTCGAACTCAAATAATATGATTTTTTACTCAAGTACAGAACTGAAGCTCCCTGAGGGCAAGAACTGAAAAATGATTTATTTTTTAATTCCCTCCGACACCTAGCAGAACATATTTAACATAGTAGGTGCTAAAACATCCACAGAAAGAATAAATCCATTTGACAAACAACCTCATTATAAACACAGGCAGGCATCTGGAGAATGTGGTAGTCAACATCTAAAATCCCTCTTCATGAAGGAGCCCATGTTCACTTTGCTAGTGGAGAAAGAGTGTAACCAAAGAAAGTAGAACATTTTTTCACTGATATCATCTTTGTCAGGTCTGACTATGCCTCCCTTTCTTGTGGATGACCCTTAAGGGCACATTTGAACATAAACAGCTTATTTACGTCAAAGTACAAGCCACTGAGACGATGCTTAGTTTACCGTCTAGGGTGGTTCTTCATGTTCTGCTGGACGGGGATTAAACAACTAATTTAAATGCTGAATTTGTGTGTTGAGGTAAGGAGTAGAGGTGTTCTGAGGGTCTTAATATTTTTCTGTACACATTCTATTTAAGTATAATGCCTTCCATCTTTTGAAAAGACATTTTACTGTGGAAATAGGGGATGAATTTCATGGGGAAAAATTACTAAAGGAGAATTTTCAAAGTGCTCCATTCTAAAATGGGAGATATATTGGTAAACATAAGTGTAATAGACAGTTTGAAGTATCCATGTTGAAGTACTGAGACCAATTAACTTCTCCCTCTTCTGAGTTCAGGAGAAAAGAGGGAGAAATTAATTCCATCAGCCAGGTGCGGCGGCTCATGCCTGTAATCCTAATGCTTTGGGAGGCCGAGTGGGGCAGATCACTTGAGCTCAGGAGTTTGAGACAAGCCTGGCCAACATGGTGAAACCCCATCTCTACTAAAATTACAAAAACTAGCCAGGCACAGTGACACATGACTATAATCCCAGCTACTCAGGTGGCTGAGACAGAAGAATCACTTGAACCCGAGAGACGGAGGCCATAGTGAGCCAAGGTCGCACCACTGCACTTCAGCCTGGGTGACAGAGCAAGACTTCACCTCAAAATAAATAAATAAATAAATAAATAAAATTAGAAATTAACTATGTCAAAACGTGAATGGAACTGTATAGTGCTAGGGGGTTGAGAGAAAATGAAGGGTGACTTTTTAAATGGCATAGGTTCTTTTAGGGGTGAGGGAAATGTTCTAAAGTTGGTTGTGGTGATGGTCACACAACTCTGTCAATGTATCAAAACCATGAAATTGTACATTTTAAGTGGGTAAATTTAATCTCTATATAAATACAAATTTATTGTATCTCAATAAAGCTGTTTTTTAAAGGTCACTAAAAAAAAGAGAGCAGGAAGACCCAATAGAATTGAAGAGTGTGTTAAAGAATGAAAAGGTGTTAGCCAGGTTGGGCTGGGGTGGTGGGAAAGGAAGCGTGGTCATTTAGACAGATGGAAAAACAAGTTCAAGGACACAAGGAAATAGCATGACATGAACAGGGAACTTCAAGTGGTTCAGTATTTAAATTGAGTAGAAATGGGAAAGAAAAAACTAGAAAGATGAGGCTATAAAAGTGAGGCTGAGAGGGAGCAGGGAGGAGCCAATTCATGCAGTCTTTTCACTGGCAAGGAGAGCTTCCCCTTCATGGTGGAGTTGGTGCCTCATGATTGGCATTCCACAGCCAGGCCTTCCTCCTATTCCCTTCTGTCTCCTCAGGGACTTGCTCCGTGAGTTGCTTCAGCTGACTCTCCATCATCCTCTATAAACCTGTTTCCATTTTCCTGCCCCTGTTTTCTTCTACCACTCTCTAAGCCATTTTTCCTGGAAAGATCAGTGTATGCCTCATGCCTCACCTTCTCACCTCTTGTCCACATCACAATTCACGACAAATAGATTTCTGCTCCAATATCCCACTCAAACTGTTGTAGCAAAACATGGCAGTCCCTTCTTATTCTCAAACCTACAATGCATTTTTTAGTCCTTTTCTTACCTGTTCACTTTGGTTCTTTCTGAAACTCTTTACTCACTATCATTTTGTGATACCTCTTCATTGTCAACCTACTTCTCTTACTAATCCTTCTGAATATCCTCTGTCTGCTCCTAAAAGTCAGCATTCCCTAATGCTCACCTTTAAGTCTTCTCCTCTCAAACCTTCTCTCTAAGTTTATCTTATTCACTCTTTTATTTTTTTATTTTTTTTTTTGAGACAGAGTTTCGCTCTTGTTACCCAGGCTGGAGTGCAATGGCGCGATCTCGGCTCACTGCAACCTCCGCCTCCTGGGCGCAGGCAATTCTCCTGCCTCAACCTCCTGAGTAGCTAGGATTACAGGCACGTGCCACCATGCCCAGCTAATTTTTTGTATTTTTAGTAGAGACGGGGTTTCACCATGTTGACCAGGATGGTCTCGATCTCTTGACCTCGTGATCCACCCGCCTCGGCCTCCCAAAGTGCTGGGATTACAGGCTTGAGCCACCGCGCCTGGCTTATTCACTCTTGTGATGTTAATTATGACTTATACATAGATGTCAACCCAAGATGGAATCTCGATTCTAGCCAATGTTGTCCATTGCTTACTTGGTATCTCCAGATAATTGCATTCACTAAATATTATTGAACATAATATGCCAAAGTTTGTGCTGGGTGCTATGACTACCACAAAGAATAAGACACATCTCTTGCCCTTTGGGTCTCTTAGGCTATTGGAGGAAGCAGAAACCCTATGATTAAGGATACTTATCGTAGGAACCTAGAGGAGCAGTGGTGAACCCAGCCCTGGAAGCCAGTGATGTCCTGGTAGAAGAGGTGATAATACGCTTTAAAACCTGACAAAGAGGAAAGCACCACTTGGGGACAAAGGGAAAGGGCATTCTAAGCAAAGAACAAATGCACAACTACAAGGAGCAACTTGGAGCATGCAGCAAAGGACACTCAGCAGCTGTAGTCACTGAAAATTAGTGTGTACATGGAAACTGAGGCAAGTGAGGCTGGAAAGGGAAGCAGAGGCAAAACCACAGAGGGTCTTCAAGGTAGAGTAATATTAAAGAGCTTTGGCTTTATCCAATTGTGTAGATGACGGGAGTGTGTGTAGTTAACGGAAGATGAAAGTGAAGTAGTCATATCTGCCCTTTACAAAGAGTATAAAGTGCTCATAGAATGGAAGACAAGTTGGGGACAGAGGGAAAGACAAGAGACAGGAACTAGGAAGAAAGCAACTAGGGATACATGTTCATTTCCATCTTCTTGGGTATAGCTGCTGATAGCCATGAAGATAAAATGAGCCTATCATGTCTAATGGGGCCTAATTTTTTTCTGTCTCATACACACATACCATTAAATATAAATACAATTCATTGTGGATAGTCCTTGAAAAATTTCTACTTGTCAGAGGCTCCAATACTGACCATACATCTACATGATTAATATTAGCATTGTACAGATGGAGTAAAATTTCTTGTCAATGTTTAACATAGTTTGCTCTTTTCCACATTGAATCCCAAATAATCACACAACCATCTACTCTGCATATTGGCACTCCAATGTAGCAAGTCAATCTATATAAACAGCAGTAAAAATGGTTGCTTATACTCACTGTGAATGTTGGGCAGTCAGAGACATTCAACTCTTGCAAGTTCCTACAGTGGCCTAAATCAAATAAGTTACACATTACTAAACTACATATTACAAATGTTTAAACAAAGTTTTTCTATCCTACATTGAATGCAATGTATTCATTAGAAAACAAACAAAAACCTTGGCAAGTAATATGTTCTGAGTATATGGTTTCTTTTCCCAGAAAAATGACTTTTTTGGGCTTCAGAATTAAAATATATACACATGTTTATTATTGTTTGAGGATTATAGGAGCAAGGGGAAAAGAGAAAAATATTACTTTAGGAAAAACACTACTATATATACTTAGTGCTTTTAGCTTGGAAGCACTTGAAGAAAACCAGCCTGATTTTTTGTGCATGGTTTTTTGTTTTCTTTTAACATTTTAATATGAAAATTTTTAAACATACAAAAAAGTGGAAAGAACTGTATAATAAATATATAGCCACTGCCTGGATTCTAATTTATATTTTACTGTATTTGCTTTACCACATATACACCTACTCATTCATCTCTCTATACATCCCTCAATCATCTTATTTTTGTATGCATTTCAGAGTAAGTTGCAGACACTAGTAAACTTCCCCCCATATACTTCAACATGTATATAATAAATAATTCAGCATGCATAATAACAAAGCGAATAGTTGACATAATTTTTTTAGGTCAAACTTATATATGATTTATAATGAATTACAAATAGACAAATGAAGGGCCAGAGAGGCAAAGCACCTGATTAGCTCTGGGACCAGAGGCCACAGTACAGCTATGAACTCTCAGGAAAAATGAGACATGTATCCAAACAGCTAGACGGAAAAGTGTTTCACAATCAGTGTCCTGAATCTCAGTGGACAGTAAATAAAACTCCAAATCTGAGACAGAAGAGAAGTAACTAGGGAGGCCACACAAACAAGTGACTGGGATAAATGCTTGAAGCAAAGAAAAGGGAAGGCATTCTGTGGAGACCCCAAGAAGCAGGAAAACTCCAGGCAAAGGGGTGATTCTGCATTCAAATTGCCACAACAAATAGAAAACACATTTGCTGCTCATAACCACATAGCCCCACACTAATAACAACAGACATGTTAGCAGTTATAAATCCATTTCAAACATTTCTTCCTTTGCCAAAAGTGGACTGCATCCTAAGTGATATATGCAAACCAGAAATACTTTCAGAATTTTTTTAAAAATGAAAACAATTGGTAAAAATGTACGCAACCTGGAAGTCCTCAATAATTTTGATTAAGGAGAAAATAGATTTCCCAGACAATACAAGTTATGAAATAAATGTCCTTACAGTATACAATAGTTATTCTGTTTTGTTTTTTTGAGACAGGATCTCACTCTGTCACTCAAGCCAGAGTGAAGTTGGCGCCATGTCGGCTCACTGCAGCTTCAACCTTCCAGGCTCAGGTGATCCTTCCACTTCAGCAACCCCCACTCCCATTCCCAAGTAGCTGACACTACAGGTGCATACCACCATGCTCGGATAATGTCTGTATTTTTTGTAGAGACAGGGTTTCCCCATGCTGCCCAGACTGGTCTCCTGGGCTCAAGCAATCTGCCCGCTTCGGCCTCCCAAAGTGCTGGGATTACAGGCATGAGCCATTGCACTCAGCCAGAACAGTTATTTGAGAGTAATTCATCAGTTCAACAAATATTTATCAAGGAAATACAGCAGTTAACAAAACAGACAAAAATCTTTTCCCTTAAGGAGTTAAGTTTCTAGTCAGGAGAGACTAACAGTAAACAAAAGAAGTTAAATACCATATCTACTTTGACAGACGGTGATTAACTGCTACGGAGAAAAAATGAAACAAGAAAAGGAATTGGGAGCACCCAACAAGTGGGACGGAATGTGATTTAAAATGGGTCTGAACAGGAAGTTTTCACTGAAAAGGTAACACTTGAGCCAAGACGTGCAGGAGATGACAAGGGCAGTGCCATTGACCTCAAGCATCTCTGGAGCCTACACTCAACATGGTTGGTGATTGGGAGACAGTAGAGGACAGAAAAAAATAAGCTCAGAAAGACAACCATTCAAGTTCTACCCTTGTGTGTACATCTCAAGGCTGTGTGGAGAATTCTTTTAATTTCTTAAATCCGATGTGATGATGAACTACAGGTTTCAGTTTTTATCAGGCTGAGTCCTAACATTTGTGACTACTTCCCTGGGGCTGGCCACTGTGAAGCATCTTATGCACATGAGCCTATTTTATTCTCCCAAAAATAGTAGGAGGTATCCTCAGTCCTGTTTTACAGATGCTGAATATGAGGTTAAATAACATAACTAGCCTAGGTTGATACAGTTAAGCAGGTAAGAGAGCCTTGATTCAAACTCAGGACACATTCAGCCTCTAACCCAGGCAACTAAGAGGGGCAGAAGCTTTCTACGTCACTGTTCTGTGGAACTAGACGGCCTTTGCCTTTAAAAAGTCTGTTTGTCAATAACACAGCGCTTGCAATGTGCCTTAACTTTTAATACACATTTTTTTCTCTTCCAACCTAGGGACTCCACGTACCCCAGCTGGGTCTCATTGTTCCAGAACTGCATTAGTTAAGATTACCCAAACTTGGATTTCAAAGGAATACTTTCATTGTTCCATCTGTCACACGAAGTAATTGGGGCCAGCTGGATGTCAGGATGCGCGTGGTTACCATTGTAATCTTGCTCTGCTTTTGCAAAGCTGCTGAGCTGCGCAAAGGAAGGCCAGGCACTGTGAGAAGCCGAGTGAATCATGGCCCTGCGGGTGGAGGCCGGAGAGGCTCCAACCCAGTCAAACGCTACACACCAGGCCTCCCATGTGACGTGTACACATATCTCCATGAAAAGTACTTAGATTGTCAAGAAAGAAAATTAGTTTATGTGCTACCTGATTGGCCTCAGGATTTGCTGCACATGCTGCTAGCAAGAAACAAGATCCGCATATTGAAGAACAACATGTTTTCCAAGTTTAAAAAGCTGAAAAGCCTGGATCTGCAGCAGAATGAGATCTCTAAAATTGAGAGTGAGGCGTTCTTTGGTTTAAACAAACTCACCACCCTCTTACTGCAGCACAACCAGATCAAAGTCTTGACAGAGGAAGTGTTCATTTACACACCTCTCCTGAGCTACCTGCGTCTTTATGACAACCCCTGGCACTGTACTTGTGAGATAGAAACGCTTATTTCAATGTTGCAGATTCCCAGGAACCGAAATTTGGGGAACTATGCCAAGTGCGAAACCCCACAAGAACAAAAAAACAAAAAACTGCGACAGATAAAATCTGAACAGTTGTGTAATGAAGAAGAAAAGGAACAATTGGGCCCGAAACCCCAAGTGTCAGGGAGACCCCCCGTCATCAAGCCTGAGGTGGACTCAACTTTTTGCCACAATTATGTGTTTCCCATACAAACACTGGACTGCAAAAGGAAAGGTTTGTACTTTTCTTGCTTTTTCATTTTCATGAATAACTTAAAATGGTCTTTGAATCTTATAATCCTCCCTACACCCGACCATGCCTTGGAATTCTTGATGTCACTTCCACCAGAAATCTTTCCCTAGTGACAATAGAATTTATCCAAAGCTTTTCTGGGGTCCAGACTCAAGGCAGTTGGTAATCCAAGGACAATGACAGGAGGGAAGGAAGTATCCTCAGGAGGGCAGCCATTTGGGTTCCACTCATTTGCACATCGCAAGCTGTCACTGTAAGGAATTTCTTTCATCTTAAATCCAATTTAATTTAGGTAGGTAAACCAAGGTGTGTGAAAATAAGTGCATATGCCATCTATATAACCCGACTTACACGGATTATAGTCAAAACATGGTGTGCATCTGTGAGATGACAACCTCAAAGAGAAAACATCTGCAGAACAGGACTGTGACAGCACTCTGAGACACAGTGAAAGTAATGGTGCTTCCATATTTCTCATCATTTAGTCCCAGCTTTTAATTAATGCTCCTTTTTTTTTTTTTTTTGAGATGGACTCTCACTGTGTTGCCGGAGTTCGAGTGCAGTGGTACGATCCTGGCACACTGCAACCCTCACCTCCTGGGTTCAAGCGATTCTCCTGCCTCAGCCTACCAAGTAGTAAATGCTTCTTAACATCCTATATCTTAATTATTTCCAAATTACCTGGAATAAAACAACAAAAATGTAAAGAACTAAATTTAAAATATTTAATCTGAGAACTATGAGACTAAAGAAATCTTTCTAGAATATTACCTACTCCCTGCAAATCATTACTGGGTTTTGCAACCCATGCAATTCTTGTGCTAGTATTACACAGGATGTGCAAATGCAAGATAAAGTCATGAGCTAAGAAAACAGATGGGAGATTTTAGTAATGCTCTTGACGTGCCAGTGAAGATCAATGTTCTCAAAGTGTAGTCAGGGAACTGCTAATCTAACCTACAATAAAAAACCATGTAACAAATGTCTGTATGTTTCATTTCTGGCATGGTTTAATAATTTATTTGTAATATTAAATTAAAGCCAGATGTCATTAAATGAGGTTCATATAGAACATGGTATCATTTCTTCCACTTACATTGGGAAATTTTGCTGTTTTGTTTCTTTGAGGGCAAGAGAAATGGATAGTTCAGAGAGGAAGCCCTGGTTCCTCTCAAGAGAATGTTAGGCAGGCATTATTAACATTGTCACGCAACCTGAACCAGAAATAAATTTTCTCATTTACCAGCAAAGTCATGTTCAAGCCCTGTCCCACCATCCCGCACCCCCACCCCCAATTGTAAAGATGGCACCTGGTTAGATCCCACAGCAGCCATGTGGCACAGGGAGGTTTGCTTACCAAGACACCCTGTGAACTGTATATAATTCACTGCCATAGGAGAGCAGTTATATATAGCTTCATAACCTGGGACATGCCATTCTTGGCTCCAGGTACCCACACATGCTGTCCACAACTTCCAGGAAGCTAGTAATATTCCCATTTACAGATTAGGAAAATGAAGCTCAAAGAGCTTCAGTCACTTGACCATGGGTTTCACAGGTAAGCACCAAAGCTAAAATTGAATCTTGGGGTCTACCTAA